ATGTTGGCAAGTGAGCTTGCATAATGCGGTCCTAAAAGCTACCAATAGACTGATTTACTTTAGGGTATTATTGGGTAGGACTTACATGGCAGTATAGCAAAATTCTAGGATAGGTGTGCCCTGTAGTAGACTTAAAAATACTTTACAGAGAAGATCTTCTTTCATGAGCATAAAAAGCAAATATAAAAGCAAGACAAAGAAGATAATATTTTATTAACCCCAGAAACTATTGGCAATTCTTTTAGAAAATATTATGAGAAACTATATAATTTAACAGTTAAACCCATAGAGTTAGCCATGGATAAATATCTAAAAAAAATAAAAATTCCCAAAATCCCTGTAGAACAAAAACAGAAATTAAATCAAGAGATAAAACAAGAAGAAGTAGTTGTTGTTATAGATAATCTTCAAATAATAAAAACACCAGGCCCTGATGGCTTTTCAAACTTATTTTTTTAAAAACATTTAAAGATATTATCTCTTCAAATTTAACTGCAACATTTAACAAAATAGCCTCTACGGGTAAAAAAATAAAAATTCCCAAAATCCCTGTAGAACAAAAACAGAAATTAAATCAAGAGATAAAACAAGAAGAAGTAGTTGTTGTTATAGATAATCTTCAAATAATAAAAACACCAGGCCCTGATGGCTTTTCAAACTTATTTTTTTAAAAACATTTAAAGATATTATCTCTTCAAATTTAACTGCAACATTTAACAAAATAGCCTCTACGGGTAACAAAATAAAAGAACTATTAAGAGCCAATATAAAACCCATTTTGAAACAGAATAAACCTCCAACAGACATGATAAACTACAGACCAATCTCATTGATTGACACAGACATTAAAAGCTATGCTTCAGTCCTAGCCCGAAGACTAACTCCATTACTTCCTAATTTGATTCATGCTGATCAAATAGGTTTTGTCCAGGGCCAACACTCAAGTAATAACTCATTCAGGGTGATTGATATCTTAAAACATGCTCAATACTCATGGACGCCCCTTCTGACCCTGTTGGTGGATGCAGAAAAGTCCTTTGACCGGGTCAGATGGGGCTATATGAAGAAAACCTTGGCATCATTTGGGCTGGAAGGATGGAATGCTATAGGAGCCCTATATACTTGCCCAACTGCTAGCATAGTGGGACCCAATTTTTGTACAGAATGGTTTGAGATCACAAATGGGACGAGACAGGGGTGCAATCAGCATTAGAAATAATGCTGAAATAAAAGATATGACTATAGGTAATTCTGAATTGAAAATCTGTCTGTACGCAGACGATGTTCTGATTTCTATTGTTGATCCTATTTTATCATTAGGTCATCTAATGTAGGAGGTCCAAAATATGGGGATATTTCTAACTATAAAATTTATATTCATAAAACAACAACTCTGACAATAGACCTTAATCCCTCTTCTCTAAAGGTTTTAAAAGATAAATACAATTTTTATTGTTCCAAGAAAGAATTTCAATATCTAGGAATAACTATAACAGCAAATCCAAAATCTATAGTTGAAACTAACGTCTTGAAATTGATGAAATACACTAATAGAATCCTTAAAGAATGGCGCTTCCTAGACATCTCCTGGTGGGGAAGAACCAACACGATAAAGGCATATATCATCCCTAAATGGGCTTATCTTTTTAATATGATTCCATTAAAATTTCCTAAGATTTGGTTGGATATGATTCAGCTCTCCTTTTCTAAGTTCATATGGAAAGGAAAGACTCCAAGAATTAAGACACAGGTTTTGGCAAAACAAAGTAACAAAGGAGGTATGGGATATCCCCTAATAAGAGATATATACCGGGCCAACATAATTACCCATATCCATAAATTTCAGAGTTACAACTTGAGAGAGTTGGCCTGGTTCAAAATAGAAACATTTCGATCTGAAGAAAAAGACCTAGCCCTTCTGATATGGGATGACTTTAGTAAGGTTAACCACCAACCAATGGAATTTAACTCAAGGGTCTTAAACCAACTTATAGAAGAATGGCAATTAATAAAAATGAACCTCAAGATAGCTAATAAAATATTTGAAGGAGCCAAGCTGCGACTCCTAGAAAGAGTTATGCCAGACCTAGATCTTAGTTTGTGGAGAATCCACAAATCCATTTTTATAGAAGACCTTCTCCTACAAACTAAGTTAAGTTCATTTGAAAATCTAAAACTAAAATTGGATCTTTCTGATAAAGAAACTTTTGCGTATATAAGAGTGAGAGGTTTCCTAAACAAATTCCTTTTAAAGATAGAAGGGGATAAGAAGAGGCTAATTCGTAAAATCTTCAATGCAAATGTGGTCAAAGCAGTTAGCTCTACAGCTATAGAATTAATGACACAATCATACTCATTCATAGAACCCCCAGCAAAAAAAGAAATGGGAAAAAGACCTGAACCAAAAAAACACAGAAGAGGAATGGTGTTTTTCTCTAAGATCAATAAAAAAACACATGCATTGCCTCAATATTATAGAAACATTCTTTAAAGTATTACATAGATGGTATTTAGTCCCAACCAGATTGGTTAAAATATCTCCAGTTAACTCTCCACTTTGCTGGAGATGCCTAGCCAATGAAGGTTCAATGCTACGTATTTGGTGGAACTGTCCAAGAATAACTACATTTTGGAACTCAATATATTCCAGTATGACATCCTTTAACATAAATCTAAATAAATCCCCAGAAACAGGCCTTCTCCACCTCAACTGGGGTAAACTCCCCAAAAAACAGCAATTACTGACCCTCCACTGTCTCATGTCTGCAAAAATACTTATTACGAGACACTGGAAACAAATTTTAACACCAGACTTTACCCAATATAAAAATCAACCTTTTTACCAACTTGAAATGGCAAGGGGAGTTTCTAACTCAAAACATAATTTAAACCATATTCATAACTATGACCACTGAATTAATAAAATAAGGGAAATTTCTTAAAATAATTTTCTATGATCTTAAACTCAAATAGCTTGATATACTATGTTTTAAATATATGTATATAAGTGTTATATCTGAGATCCACACTAAACCATATTACATGTATTTAATGTCTATTTTTGTAATGTCCATGTGTATTGTTTGTTTTCTTAATGCTGGAACGTACCATATAAAAATAATAAAAAAAATGAAACCTTAAAAAAAAAAAGAAAATATAAAAGCAAGACAAATTGTGAAACTGCTAACAACTAAATAATAGTGCTCTTTTTTTTACCCAGTATGAAAACACACAGCTGAAAGTCTCTGCTGGCTCTTGGTAAATGCCATGGTTTTGTTTCAATCAGTCCTCATAAAATACAATAGTACCTTTCTGAGATGCATTTGTTGACTACTAAGAAAAGTATACATAATACGGATTAAGGAACAGCGCACACATAAACATACATTTTAAAATGTTATAAGGCTATGTAAAATCACCTGTCTCAGCAAACAAATAAACTATATATAGTTAATTGTATATAAAAGCACTTTCAAATTAATTGTTTAGTTTTGACACTGCATTTTTTATTGCATTTATAACATTACTTTTTCATTATATATATTCACAATGTTCTTACAACAGATTATTAAAATACACTTTAGTTTGTTTAGCACTAACACATTTTGCAATTAGTGTAGGATCCACCAATATTGGGGTACTGTGAAGAAGTGGTGGGCTTAACACAAAATGGCCATATTTTTTTCTAAGAAAATTAGACTTTATTTATGAGCTGCAATTTGTACGAATTTGGGTTGATTGGGTAATGGGCTAATTCTCAAACTTCAAGACAGAATTTATCGGAATCATGAATAAACAGAACCACGCAATGATCAAAAATGTTCATTTTGCATTGTGATTCTGAACTTCACCCATGGTTCCAAAAAAAGAGATGACTGATGGAAAAAAAGATGATTGAAGACTAGGGGGCAGTCACTAGATGCTGATTTTATTCACATATAAAGTGAGAAGTGAACATAAGAAAGAAAAAAGGAGGATCAATAACAAAGTCATTACGTGTATATTATAATATTTAATAAATACCATATTTACTCGAATCACCTTTTATGGAAAATAAAGCTTCCAAAATTTGAATGTGCATTAGATTCGATTGCGCGTTACTTTCAGGGCAAAATTAAAAATGTCCTGGTGAATTGCATTTTGGCAAATTAAAACTGGTGAAGTCAAACACAAATTAGAACAGGTGAATTCATACAGGCGAATTTCATTGCAGGCGAATTCACACAAGCAAATCTCATTCCTGAAGGAGGGCTTAAGAAAGAAGGCACTTTAACATGTAACACTAAAATTTAAATACCAGCAATGTTACTATGGTATACGGCAATAAACATTTTCATTGTAGCGCAATGTTGTATAGTAGTATCTTCTAGTATAAATGCGTATTACATAAGCCAGCAAAAACATTTTTCAGCTTCTAGGTTTCAAAAATTGAGGTGCGCATTAGACTCAATGGTGCATTAGATTCAAGTAAATACGGTATATAACATAAAAATCTAGATTATTTTTACTGTTTCTCATGTCTTTTCCTCTAATGGTTACATTTTTTTCACTTGATCTGTACATTCATTCCATATCTAATTCCAACCTGTGTAGAGTGGGTTAATATAAATTGTAGTAGCCCTAGTGTTTACTCAATTCTGTTAGCATATAACAAATAAATATAAATATGTATTCTGATTTTTGATGGTGATAAAAAAGTAAGTTAGTGTTGATGTGTCTTTGTCTTTTGGGTATCATCATATATGGAGATTGTATTAACCTCCTGTTAACATTAATTTTAATTAGTACTTTGGGCTCTAGCAAAATCCATAATCAGTTCATTTGTCTATTATGGGATTATTGTTTTTTCGTTTTTTTTTTAGAGGGACACTATACGCACCCAGACCACTTCATATCAACCTGAGTGCCATGTCCCTGCTGTTTTAACCCTGCAACGTAAAACATTATCATTCTGCAGGAACATCAACATTGATATCACAGGATTTAAATGTTACTAGTGGCTGTCACTTTAGCTCAGGGGCAAAACCTGGCTATTTCAATCTCTCTTAAAGACCATCTGATTGGTGCAGAACTGTGTTTTGCTAAGTTAAAGCATTTGATTGGCTGAGGTTATCAATGTGATCTTGGTGCCTTGGAGGCTGGACAGCGGTACAAAGACTGGCAGTGCGATGAATAAAGTAAGTAAGTAAATCAGTTAGAATTGCACTACAGAATTAGGAATACACATTTGTATTCCTAACGCTATACTGTTCCAAGAGTTTAATTGTAAGTTTACATCATTGAGAGTATCACATTTTGCATATTTTGAATTTAGATTTGAGAATAATAAGATGTCTACCAGAAATGAGTTTCTTTCTTTGTAGCAGCTTGGAAATGGCTTCATCTCATCTTTCTACATAATCCACTCTCATATTGCTATTGTTTATTACAATAATATTCTCTGAAGAGTTTCCTACCTTTGTGTGCATTTCCATAGATTAAATCAGGCAGATAATCTAACCAACTAAAGCAACTTCTAGATAACTTCAAATTACATTTGCAAAAATATAAGACCTTAAAAGACAACTTGACTCTAGAGATAAAAACACATCTCATAGTGTAATATTGTAAAAACAGATGGAAAAATAAACATGGTAATTAAATGCACTTACACATATATAGTGTCAACAGCACGTCATTCTGGGCAGGGATGGGAGAGACGGGCATTGCATATTTTGATGCACTTTGATGCTTTTTAAATTCATTTCATTGTTTTTTCATATTTTTATTTTAAATTGAACTGGAGCAAGCTGAATGAGGGGTAGGCAGGCGTGAGATACGTTATTTGGGTGATATACATATTTATGCTAATATATTTATTTTCCATCTGTTTTTAAAATATTACACTATGAGTTGTCTTTTTATCTCTAGAGTCAAGTTGTTATTTTGTTTGTAGGTTATATGTTTTGCTTGCTCGTACATTTTGTTTTGTGGATGAAAATTATAGAAGTACCTCTACACAGACCAGTAGGAAAGTATTTTCATTTCATCCTGTGTTCTCGTCTGGGAGATTTTGATTGAGGTTTTCATTTGTGAGGTTTTTTACGTTGCTCAAATTACATCTGCAGATTATATTGCATTACTTTTGACAACATTTCTTACAGAACTACCCCAGTAAAGATACCTTTGGAAACATGATATTGTGTGTACCAAATTTAGCATAAAATATAATTTGATTAGTTGCATGATAACTCTATAACTTTTGGTAAAGATTTATAAACATGACAGCAACATGCTTCCCTCAGATAAAAAGAAAATGACATCTTCTTACTCGAAGATTACTTGAATGCAGATATGTATAAAACAACATTTTATACCAGATCCCACAGGTGTCATTGGGTATTGCAAAGATTTCATAAATTTGTCTTGCTGAGAAAGGTGCATAAAGGCACAGATGTATTAAAAACAAAAACAATTGCCTGGGCAACTAAAATTAACTCTAGAGATGTCAGTGCAAAGTGTTAATATAGAAGATCATTTAAAAATATTGTATATCCTATTATCAATAGTAATTAATAGGTATACTAATAATTATTAATAGTTGTCAGTCTTACTGACTTATGCTAAAACAATGTATGTAGGACGTTCATTGAATTAATTTGAATAAACACTAAACCACAACAAGGTCAAAATCAGAAAACCTCAGAGAAAACTGAAAAAGCCCCAAATTGTACTTCCATCTTTCATTTAATAGATGTGGCAGTTGATTAAAGGTATTAGGTGCTTTTAGCTCCTTTTGTTGTCCAGTCTGCCAAACACACTAATTATATATGTTGAATGAAGTTTCAGCTCTAAAGCCCCACTATAAAATCCTGCCCACTATTATTTAATATTCAGATTCTTCTATAGATGTCAATGTTGATTGCTTAGGAATGGTTTGTCTTCTGACAGGAATATTGAAGGTCATTAAAACTTTTCATTTATATGTCACTATGTAGATCATGCTCTAAATCAATATGATAATTTCTCAGAATGATCTGCGAAGTATGTGCCAACTTTATACATTCTTGATTATCTTGAATAATTGGTATGGGCATTGGCATTTGCAGAATAGAAATAGCTAACATTAAAATGGCTTCCTGACATGCTTTGACACTGCTCATATGTACTCAACTTCAGAAAAAAAAGTATAACCATTATTTGCTTTTGACTAGACCATCTCATGGTTCATTCTCCACATTCAAGTGGTAGCTATTTCTGGACTTGTGATACATGATGTTTCCTTCTTATTCAGCAAGTACAAATACATTTTAAGGAACACTCTGAGCACTACGAATAATACATTGAGCTTTAGTGGCTATGGTGTCAGAAGTCCCCTAGCTGTGTCACACAGTATGACGTGAAACTGTTTTTGAATGGTTTAACACTTACCTGGACCGTCTGCAGTTTGACCCCCTATTCAGATACCACTAAAGTAAAAGTCCTTTTGTCTGCATTAGTGACATCAATTCTGTCTATTTTTTTACAGAATGAATCATGCTGAAAGTGTCTGTTAGCACTCTGAGTCATTTAATGAAGTTTAAATTGGGAGGCGTGTTATCCAATGTTGAAGGAGAATTGAATCAAAGAATATGCTGGTCTGCGCGTTCATCGTGGACCCACCTGTGTGTCAAAAATATTGATAATGGTTTGATTACATGAGAAGGCATCATGTGTCATATAGGTATCACATGACAATTGCATTGAGTGACACAATAAGTATAGACCCACAATGAGGCTTAAATTAGTTTTCATTTATTTAAAAGGAGGCGAGGCTGACGTAATTACTTAGGTCCATAAAGCAAGCTAATGAAGAATAACAGTTCTAAGTATTAAATGCCATTTTTACTGTTATATTGGATAGGAGAGAGATAGGATTGCCTGTTTATGAGTGATCAGGGTCTTTACTGATAAATCAATCCTAAAGAGAAAATGGTCTGTTAAGGAGAAGCAAGGAACGGAAACCGATCTGAGATGAATCCATTGGAGAGAAGCCAGAGATCAATAATCGGAAAATCAATCTGTTAAATAAACACTCCAGAACCCTAAAGCACTTTAGCTCACTAAAAAGATTTATGGTTACATCCCCTGGCTGTCAAGCAGACAATTGGTTCTGTTACTTCCTGGTTTGGTTAGCCCATTTACACTGAACTCAAGGGGCAGCACTTGCCCAGAGTACCTGCATTGCAAAGACTTCTCATTGAGCTGCATTGGAAAGTTTGAATGGACAGCCACAGAACGTCTCGGCAGGATTAGAAGGGGAGTGCTTGCAAAGGTAGTAGACAAAAGAACTGCAATTTTTGCATGCTGTTTTTAGATATAACTCCAATGAAAACGTGCATAATTATTATGTATTATTATTATTATTATGATATTTATGGAGCGCTGTCAAATTCCGCAGCGCTTTACAATGGGTGGACGAACAGACATGTAGTTGTAACCAGACAAGTGGGACACACAGGAACAGAGGGGTTGAGGGCCCTGCTCAATGAGCTTACATGCTAGAGGGAGTGGGGTAAAGTGACACAAAAAGGTAAGGATAGTATTAGACTAGTGACAGTTGCAGGAGAGGAGTCAGTCAGGAGCTATTAACAGTTTAATTGATACGCTTTTATGAAGAAGTGGGTTTTTAACGATTTTTTGAAGGAGTGGAGACTGGGTGAGCATCTAACGGAGGAGGGAAGCGAGTTCCACAGGAACGGTGCAATCCACGAGAAATCTTGAAGGCGAGCATCAGAGGTGGGAGTACGGACAGAAGATAGACGTAAGTCTTCAGCAGATCATAAGGGCCTAGACTGGACATACTTGTATATAAGGGAGGATAGATAGGTGGGAGCAGCATTATGTAGAGATTTGAAAGCAAGAACCAGAATTTTAAATTGAGCTCTTTATTTTATAGGAAGCCAATGTAGGGACTGACAGAAGGGTGAGGCATGGGAGGTGCGGGCGGACAGGAAGATGAGCCTCGCTGCTGCATTCATTATGGACTGTAACGGCGCAAGTTGGGAGCACGTAAGACCACTGAGCAGCGGATTATAGTAGTCAAGGCGAGAAAGGACAGTGGAATGGACCAACACCTTAGTCGCATCTGGCGTTAAGTAGGGACGAATGCGCGCAATGTTTTTGAGATGGAAATGACAGGATTTGGCGATAGATTGAACATGAGGCTTGAAGGAGAGGTCGGAGTCAAAGAGAACACCTAGGCAGCGAGCCTGCATGGTGGAGCTGATGGTAGCACCGTTGACTTGGAGGGAGACAGACACAGGAGTAACAACACTTGAGGGAGGAAAGACCAGAATTTCAGTTTTGGTCAAGTTTAGTTTAAGGAAGTGGGCAGCCATCCAGTTAGAAACAGCAGAGAGGCAGTAAGAGACACTAGTCAAGAGGGACGGGGAGAGACCAGGAGAGGACAGGTAGATTTGCGTGTCATCTGCATAGAAATGATATGCAAGTTAAATGCATGCAAGTTTTCATTTGGGTTATATCTAATAAACAGAAATTGGTATTTAATTTGTATTTGGGCAGTCTACTGTCCCTTTAAGAAAGGGGACCCAGAATCAGAGATAACAATAGTCAAATGGAGGCACAGGTCAGCCAACATATTCATCCTGAATTAGTAGTGTACCAAGAGAGCCAAACAAACTTTGTGGTCGGAGTCGCAGCCTGAGTTGTAATACACAGGAGATTTAGATCATAGAAAGTTCAACTTCTCTTTCCATGCATACTCGCTATAGGGAACGAAGGAAGAGTGATTGAACAGAGTCAATAATCAAGCATTGGTATGTCATCAGAAGCCTGTCTAAAAATCTGGTCTTCAATTAATACATTAAAAGGAATAGTAACCTGTTTAAAGGAGCAGTACATTAATAAATACATTTACCTTTCTTCTTGTCACACACCTGTAGCAGAGATAATATTACTGCCTCACAGCTGTAGTAGATTAAAATAAAGAGAAATTATAACATCAGGGGACCTTTGGCACAATAAACATAATTGTGGTCTTTAGTGTGTGTGGTGTTAAACTGGACCTTTAAGTTTGTATTTAATGTTAGTGGCAGTCAGAAATCAATTTGAATTGTTCACTTTAAGCATTCCAATCTGATATTTTTATTATCTAACTGTGTAGAAATCTCCCATCATCTTCTTCCTTATGTGATTAGTGTCTCTATGCTGTTTAATCTTAACTTTCTTAACTTTCTTGTTAGCGTG